ACTATCAAGTTGACCTTTATCATAATTTAACGTAGTAAATGCATTCTGTGTGGCTTCAGGTTTTTTCAGTAACTACTCATAACATTTTATTAACTACAAAATTTGCTTGTCAATGCATTAGTGTAGAGATGAACAAAGAATGATTGAATAGTATCAGTAGCACTGGTCTCCCAGCTAAGCTCTGCTGTTGTGTAACTGATTGCAGTAAATGATAGATTTGATATATGAATAGATGATTTACCTATTAATTCATAGTAATGTAAAACATGTACTAATATACACATACCAGTAGTGACTTCTATCTCAGGACTGTAACTACCTTCACCAATACAATTAATAGCAGAGACTGAGAGCAAGTATTGAATATCATTTTTAAGTCCTGATATTAGAGTCTTGTTAGTATCACCAGTTGTCAGGTTACACTGATTGACAGGACAGTTGAAACTAGTTCCATTTACATAGGACACATTAACAATGTAGCCAGTAATAGGAGCAGTAGAGAGGAAAGCTGGTGGACTCCATTCAAGACCAATAGAACTCTCAGTAATATTAGTGACTGTTATATTAGCTGGAGGACTTGGAGGATCTAATGATGAGATATGACACAAAAACCTTATAATTTTCACTTGCCTATAATTTGTATTGTACAATGTTCTTTTTGCCCAGTCATGCAGTCCATTAGTACAACTAATACTCATTCCTTCAAATGAATCATGGCCCACATTGACAGTGAATGTGGATATAGTTGGATTCCGACTCACTAACACAGTAGATATAAAGCCATCAAAGGTATTGCTGCTACCAATTGATGAGGTGAATGTGTATGATACCAAATGGTCTCCATTCTTTGACCAGACAATGATGTTGCTTGATACTTGACATGTAGCTGTTAAAGTGCTAGTATTGCATTGTTGAGGTTGTGGGCATACCAGAGTAACAACACCATCTATAATGATACAATAGGAACAATAATCTTAAAATAAAACCTGATTTACCTGAACTTGATAAAAACTGAAAAATTAGAAAAAATTAGACAAAAAATTAACAGCTTCATAATGGCAAACTGATTCTTTCTGATTACTGCAAAGCAAACCTTTATATTCTATGTTCATACATTCCACAAATGTTGGTTTATTTTAGGTCAGCTTCATTCATTTTCAACTGACATAAGCCTGGTTTCATTTCATACATAATTAAAGAATTAAAATCTAGCCATTCTTGCATTACCAAAGTCAACTCACCCATACAATTGCAAGAGCTCTAAACTAGGCTTAAACTTTAATATTGTTATGATAATTAAACTAAAACAGATGCATTACAAAAAGAATTAAATCATTCAACTTCTTGATAATCAAAATAATAGCAGGGCGGGGAGCAAAGTGACATGTGATCCTCTTATGAATATCGCATCTTTGTTTATCAGTTACAGCAATTGTTTCACCCAATTATGCTACTCAATACTGTTGCATTACTATTAGGAGTGGAACTTATTCTACTTTACTCTGGATTGGGAGGTAAGCCACTAAAACGATTATATCATACATTATATATTTTACACAGATGGTGTTATCACTAACTTTCAATGTACTGATGAGCCAGTATGTGCAGGGGATAGAATAGAATGCAACTGCACAACAGATACTGGTGCTTTAGTATGGTTTGTAAACTACAGTGCTATAGAACCTTTAATGTGGAACCAAATTGACGACGTTATATATCATGTAGGAAAAACTAAAGACGAAGAAGATAATGGTTATTATTTTACATATAATATCAGTCTGAACACTTCAATACTGACCTTTAATCTTAATGAGTCTGAGATTGTACGGATTGAATGTGCTGATGGACAAGATGATAATAATAAAAATGCAACTATTACTGATTTAGGTTAGTGTGTACACAAATAATAAGCCATTGTGCTCTTTAAAGCTTAAAATTAATTTACAATAAAATTCTTATTAATAGGTTATTATGCAAAAGCACCGACAAACTTAACAACAACCTTCAATGGAAGTGGAGTTACTTTAGAATGGGAGGACACTGGGAATAACTGTACTTCTACTGTGTATCAAGTGACTGTTATTAGTTGTTCATGTACATCAACCAGTGTATTGACGTATAATACTAGCAAGACAGCCTTACATATAAACTCAAGCGACTTATTAGACAATGTAACCTATGCATACACTGTTAGAGGATGGAATGAACAGGAAAGTAGCATCAGTGAACCATTCACACTTGGTAAGAATACATGTATAAATAACATGTATTTAATTCTGATTTGTAGCTCCTGTTGAAGTGATGAGTATTACAATAAATATAACTAATACTACTGATCCTTGTAAGAATAATAGTTGCTGTGTTAACGTTACACTGAATATAATACTGGTGAGAGATATGAATATTGCATAAATTTAACTAACAATTCATGTAGGCATCATTGCATCCAAATCAGTACTACAACATATCTTTATATAATTCCAATACTGGGTTATCATCATACAAAATAAATGAAACAGAAAGGACTGGATCAGAATTAAAATATAATGAGGCCTATTGCTTTACAGCTACACCAATGAATATCAGCACAGGAGCGTCAAGTATGTTATGTGTGTAATCATTCATATATTGAGTACTTTATATATACAGATAATGATACAATGACTACTGAATGTGAATGTCAACCACCAGGAAATAATTGTACTATAGCCACGCCTGACTTCAATGTTGCTATTATTGCAAATAGTACCACATGTAATCATTGTAATTATAATTGTTGTGCTAATATCACTATTTCCATACAATTGGTAAGTATAAAATAAATCCAATGTCTATTATAAGTACTGCAGGTATCAAACACATCAGAACAACAGTATGCAAATCAACGTTATATAATATCATATAATGATTCCATTACTGGTAATGAAGAATCAGTAGTAACAAATAAAAGAGAACAGAGCAAGAATATACAGCTGCCTTATAAGGAAACTTATTGCTTTACAATCACACCAGTACACTATTTTGATTCTGGACTGGAGAAAAGTATGTAATATACTGTTTTACAAGTATTTTCATATGAGGGATTTGTAGATCGATGTATCAAGATTTCAAAATGTAACTTAACGGGAAATGAGCCTACAGGAAATGATCCTACTGCATCAAGTTTTGAAGCTCCTTTAATAACTAATGTATTAATTTTAGTTGTAATTTTCATACTTCTTGTGTGCTTCATTATTATCATTTTTTTACTTATCTTTATTGCATGCAAAGTATGTAAAAATTAAGTATTTAAAACTTCATACAGTTGGCAAGATTCTTTTTATTTATTTTCCCCATAGCATTTTTTGTTATTTTGTCTTTTATAATAAATAGTCTTGGTACCTTATATTGTGCTAATTTATCAACACACCAGTTCTTCAGTATCTCTAAAGACTAGTCAAAATAATGAGATTAACACACACACAATCACAATAAGAAGGATTGAGAGCTCACCAATTCATGATTGTCAGTTGTTGGTATAACTATTGCAACTACTTTCTGTCCCAAATCTTCATCTTGTACACCAATGACAGCACATTCACTTACTAATGAGTGCTCCAGTATTACCTTCTCTATCTCAAGAGCACTATATACATGTATAATAATACATAATAATATAATACATAGTATACATTCACTACTGAGACTGGAATTTGTACATAATGATATTCATTGCTTGATAATGATATTCATTGCTTGATAATGATATTCATTGCTTGATAATGATATTCATGTACTATATCAGTAGTGTACATAAATACATGTACTGTACCTAATTTTATAGCCTCCACTCTTTATTATGTCTACTGATGCTCTCCCCAGTATCTTATACACATTATTCCTGCATTCTATTATAAAAGTACATTAATTTTACAAGCTTTCACAAATAATAGCTAACCAGCAATGTCTCCAGTAACAAACCAATGGGCTGGGCCGTCAAGTTGACCTTTATCATGATTTAATATAGTAAATGCATTCTGTGTGGCTTCAGGTTTCTTCCAGTAACTACTCATAACATATTAACTCCAACTTTTGTTGGTTAATGCTTACCCTTTAAAGATGCCTGGACCATACAAATGTATTTCCCCTTCCTCAACTTCACCAAAGGTACCACTATTAAGATTATTATCCTCATCTTTTGAAACCAATCTGACACTATTATAAGGGAGTGGATATCCAACAAGACCCTATCACACACAAAAATAACAACAACAATAATTAAGATCTCACTGGTTCTCTATGACCTTTATATAAATTAGATAATACCATTCCAGTCTCAGTCATACCATATCTCTCAAGCAGTGCATGTCCTGTGCATGTATAAATACAATGAATTAATAGATAGTAAGAGGTCTTTTCCATTACCTGTCACTTCTTTCCATCTCTTGAAAATTGAGTCTGGTAATGCTGAAGAGCCTGACATCATCAACCTAAGGTAGACGTACAACAATAACAATAATAACAGTAATACTAAAACATGTACATGTACATGTTTTAACTACATGTACATGACTACATGTACTTGGATTGCTTACCTAATATTTGATTGGCAATGGTTTTTAATCATTTCTTTCTCTTCATTGCTATATCTAGCTAATTCATAATATTGCAGCAGTCTATTGTACATTGTGGGTACTCCACTAAACACATTAACTTTAGGATAATTACCATCATGCTTGTTTAGAAGAGATGACCATACCTAAAACAATTAGACGAAAATTTTTAGATACTCTCTCTTCTTTTTTCCTTTAATTTTAAGTTTCTAACCTTATCTGGTTCAAACTTGTTATGCATTAATATGCTAGCACCACACGACAAAGGACATAAGAGGATATTCAATATACCATGAAGATGATGGAGAGGTAAAGCATGAAGGACCACATCAGCTTCTGAGTAATCCCATTCTGAAACAAGAGAGTATATATGATACCTATAATAAATACAACAATTATGAATTAATAAGATGGAATTATTAAGTGACTAACCTGATGTTTGAATGTGTTAACAATACACCTTTAGGATGACCAGTGGTACCACTAGTATATAATATCATGGCGCCTAACTCACTCCATACTGGGGCCTCTTCCGTCCATTTTGAATTATCAGCTGCTTTGCTATCATTTAAGACAGAGTTGGGACTGTTTAAGAATTCACTCACGTTCAAATGAGCCACACCCACTGATTGTTTTAATGCATGTCCAATATCTTTATAATTATCTGACGATAATAAAAGTGAAGCCTCACAGTCTCTCAGGACATACTCCAGCTCGGCCAGTGGGTGGGTCTTACACAGTGGAACGGCTATGCACCCCATCTTCCATATTGCATACAGTGAAGTGACATATAAATCATTGTTGTCACATATAAAAGCAATGCGTGGTTGTATCTTGTACACAATAGATGGGTCATTGAGGGGTCCACTAACAGGGGCTGTATCATGTAAACGAGGAGAAGGTAGTGTAGGAGAAAGAGCTTGTAATTTCTTGTGAATATTGCTGCTTAATTCACTGATGCTTGGTTTAAAGTGCAGCTCTTCAGAGAGTCTATTCTTGAATAAATCTGAGGATGCATTTAGTGTACCATACGTAAGAGGAGAGCGGTCACCAGCCCAATAGAGAGCAGCTTTAGTGGGAGATCTGGACTCCAAGAAGAAAGGAAGACGAGGGAGACAAGAGAAGGATGGATGTTGAGCCATGTGGAATAGTTACCACCCACAAACCATACCCAAACAAATCAACCCATTTTTATTTAAAAAAAAAGTTAAGAGATCTATTCATTAGAAAAAAAACATTATTAACAAGACGGAAAGATCTTTCTCAATTCTTGCAATATTTCCTCCATTGTAGGTCTAAGGGATGGATCTCTTTCGATGCAGCTCTTGATTATTATGTGCATCCCAGGAAAACGGTTCTCAAAATATCTGAGCATTGTAGAGAACTCGCGCTGACTCGGTAGCTGAGGTGTCTCGGTGAAAACCTCACAGAGTAACACACCATAACTAAATACGTCTACTTTAGTCGTTTGTTCTTGTCTTTGCTTCTGAGTCTTGTCAAAGGACAAGGCCACACACTCACGAGGAACTTCAGGAGCTGTATACACCTCAGCACCTGGAGCACTTGAAACACTGAGCCTTGCGAGATTAGCAGCACCAAAATCAGAGAGCTTCCCTCTCCAGACATCATCTTGCTTCTGCAACAGGACATTAGCACTGCTCACATCACGATGAAGTATAGGCTCCTCTTGAGAGTGAAGATAATGGAGAGCGCAGGCAACATCGTACATTATCTGTCTCATGTCCAATCTCTTCACAATGCCTTTAGTGTAGCCAATTCTCAGTGACATTGTCATTAATTCTGTCACCATCAGCGGTCTCTCGTTCTCATGATCAAAGGCAACCGCTATGAAGAGTAATAGATTCGGATGACGCACTCTAGCCAGTAGGCTAACTTCTCTTTTAAACACTTCTAAATTGTGATGACTCTTGATCATATCATGAAGTACCTTGACAGCGACTCTCTGCTCTCTAAAGTAACCCTCGTATACTGTAGCATATGCCCCACGACCAATCTCTTTCTTTACATGAATCTCACTGCTGCTCACTTCCCAACGAGATCGCCTGCTCTCCTCTTGCAGTTCATACAGCTGTGTTTTAACTTGTTTCAACTCATTGCTGTAGTCTCTCTCAGTCGACTGTAAGAGAACTCTCAGTGAATTGACCTCGTCTTTAAGTTGTACATTCTCACTCCTAAGTTGAGCATTCTCTTGCGCTAGTTGTTTCTTTTGTCTCTCTAGTTCAGAGACAATGGATTCATGAATAACTCTCATAGGATTACTGTCTGAGATTAGTGTGCCAGGGTTTTCAAATCTTCTTGTTGACTGTATGGAAAAAGAAAAGGAGAACTTGATACGAGCTAGTTCAGTGTTTAATTCACTTACATAGTGATGATAGGATTGAAGAGGAGGTTCATCTTCATTATCACTATGTCTTATGACACATTTTAGAAACTTAGTGTCTGCAGTTTCTTTGTGCATCTTCAACTACAATAAACAGTAATGATGGTATGTGAGGATTGCTTGACATACCCATATATCGACGTCACGCTCAATACAGTCAGTGCTGACAGCATGATAAGTGACTCCAACTTTGTGTCTCTCCCATGGTAAGGTTGTTAAATCAACACCAGTTTGATGCCACAGACGAACTAAAAAGAGAGAGAAAAAAAGAGTACAAAGGAAAGAGGTCATTACTCATGTATATATATAAACTATGCCTGAAAAATACCCAAGGCTATAGCCCATGGTTTTTCCAAAAAATGGCTCCAAAATCACCCCAAATTTTTATTACATTTTCTGATACATATTGATGTACTTATGCTATGTAGAAGGTTTGAGCTGATTCCGACTTCAATTTTTTGAGTTATGGCCATTTAAAAAATTGGCCATTTTCTGAAAAATACCCAAGGCTATAGCCCATGGTTTTTTCCAAAAAATGGCTCCAAAATCACCCCAAATTTTTATTATATTTTCTGATACATATTGATGTACTTATACTATGTAGAAAGTTTGAGCCAATTCCGACTTCAATTTTTTGAGTTATGGTCATTTAAAAAAATTGGCCATTTTCTGAAAAATACCCAAGGCTTATACTTTGGCGGCTGCAGAAGTCCAACTCAGCCTAGGCATTTCTAATTAAAGGGGTGTGGTAAAAGGGTTAAATAGCATTGTTCCTACTTCCGGTCTAATTTTTAACCTAGGCAATGACCCCCAATGCCTAGGCCTGCAGCCGCCTATGGGCTTATAATATAGTATAGCCCATGGTTTTTTCCAAAAAATGGCTCCAAAATCACCCCAAATTTTTATTACATTTTCTGATACATATTGATGTACTTATGCTATATAGAAGGTTTAAGCTGATTCTGACTTCAATTTTTTGAGTTATGGCCATTTAAAAAAATTGGCCATTTTTTGAAAAATACCCAAGGCTATAGTATAGCCCATGGTTTTTTCCAAAAAATGGCTCTAAAATTACCCCAAATTTTTATTATATTTTCTGATACATATTGATGTACTTATGCTATGTATAAAGTTCAAGCCAATTCCGACTTCAATTTTTTGAGTTATGGTCATTTTAAAAAATTGGCCATTTTCTGAAAAATACCCAAGGCTATAGCCCATGGTTTTTTCCAAAATTGGCTCTAAAATCACCCCAAATTTTTATTACATTTTCTGATACATATTGATGTACTTATGTTATTTAGAAAGTTTGAGCCAATTTTGACTTTAATTTTTTAAAGTTTTGACCATTAAAAAAATGCAATTTTCTGAAAAATACCTAAGGCTACAGCCCATGGTTTTTCCCAAAAATTAGCTCCAAAATCATCCCAAATTTTTATCACATTTTCTGATACATATTGCTGTCCTTATGACCTACATGTAGATATGAGACTCTAATTTTTTGCAATTGCATGATTTTGACCCCATTTCAATTGTTAAGGCAACTGTCAACAATCATCCTTTCATTGAATGAATGAAGCAGACATCCTGACATTAGTTGTCACTGTGAATGGTTCCAGTGCAATTGGAACAGTTGAGCTGACATAACAGCTAATATAATGTCCCAATGGAATTCAGTGAATGAACATTCTAATCAGTATTGTACAGTACAAATTTTGGTTTTTTCGTTTAAAAATTATTTTGAATCAACTAGACACTGTGTTTTGACTCATAACCCAACCTTCGTCCTCACATGCACATGGGGCCTTAGTGGTTTTCAACATGTTCACTCGCTATTACCTGACACAACTAGTCGTCTTCCAGGTTCTATTATCCCAGTGGCTGGATCAGCGCCATAATGTTGAACGGCTGTGGATTTCATTTTAAATCCAATCCTCTTAAGGCTGGTGTTGGTGAGAGTGAGGAGACACTCAGTGTGACCATTCTCTGAATCAACTGATGGGAGCGGATGCTTAGCAACTATGAAATAATAGAAGAGACTATAATACAGTCACACGGAGAGCTAACCTTTAAAGACTAGCGTGTCCAATGGGTCGAGAAGGAGAGGAGATTGCGAGGGTGACTGATTTGCCATGGCGTGATAAGTGGAAAACTACCTTTTTTGTTCTTGACCCAAATGCAAAGGCATTAATGTAAAAGCACACTTGAGCACTTCTTTGATTGTCCTGGAGATAGAATAAGACGAAAAGAAAGAAGAAAAGTTAGAAAAGAGACAGTAACTGTATGCTGGGTCCAATTCCTATGAAATCTTAACTAGCCACGCCTTCAAGTTTAAGTTAAATAAGTTTACAAAATTAAAAAATTAGCACCTGTTACAGTGTACATGTGCATGTGTATATTGCCAATTTTCACTTTCAAAGAGTTTATAAATAAAATAATTATTGTTAATGATTACAATAATTAAACTATTATAATCATACTCATACACAAAATAAAGAAACACACTCCATAAAATATAATTCATGTCCTTTTTTCTCCAAAACAGTTTACTTGTGAGTATTGCTAAAACTATTTGAACTAGAACTACCTGACTCCCTTGATAACATCTGACGGAGCATAGGATGCTTCCATAAATCAAAGGCGACCTCTTGAAGCTCATAATCAAGACACGCTATAACCTCAAATAGGAAAACCTCATCAACAGCATCACAGCTACCGAAAAGCATCTGAAGGAAGCGTCTAGTTGGAATGAAAACATCATTTTGAAGATACTGTACAAAAACTGACGGCTCAAGACACATGTAACCCATGCTTACAAAAAGGGTGTGAAAACCGGGCGGAGTGGGAATCCCTAGCTCTATATGAGCAGTGTAAAAGGACTCTAGCAGCTCAAACAGGATCCCTTCTTCTATTGAAGGCTGGCGGTGAATGGATGCACTTAGTGGATGCGAGTCGTTAGTAAACTTTAAACTTTTCCAAATGATGTGTAAGAGTATGTGAGATGAGGCTTGCAGTTCCTTCAAGTATGTCTCACAATGGCCTACCATGATTCCTGTTGATAGCTTTGAACGAAGACCAAACCTTGATGTGATCATCTGTAGGAACCGATCGTGAAAGAGACTCATGCGGATTAGCAAAGCACCTTCCAGGTCTTCATCAGGAAGGAGGAAAGGGAGACACGAGGGGCTTCCCTTACCAGACAGACCGTGTCTTCCAAGTCTTGGTGAATTAATAAAATCCTTTAGCTTCCCCATAAATTTCCCACTCTTCCCAAAGGTACCGGACTTGCTGGAACTACTCACAATGTCAAAACCTCGACCTGATCTTGACACAGTTCCTATTCTCTTCCCTCCACTGGCGGCCGGGGTACTAAGAGCGAGCATCCTTACTTGATTGGCAATGTCTTCAAGACTCAATCTCTTAAACTGCGAGGGCTGACTCACAACAGCATTGTAACACAAATGACCCAGCGTGTCCGTACTAGTCCTCATGTAATCAAACAAAAGATCAGAAGTAGGCGAGACTAACTTCTGATCAGACTGCACCAAGAGCTGTTTCACTAGATTGGGCAATTCAGTGCAACGCAGTATAACTTTCTTTGACCCATCTTTGTTCTTGTACATTTTCCCCTGAAATGCAAGGCCCATGGTCAGAGGAAGGTGCCTCAAGAGAAAGAGAGAGCAGTCCGGGGGAACATTAGCAAAGCTAAGAGCGATGATGAATTCTTGGAATAACCAATAAGCGTCTAGAGTGAGAGGAGACTGGCAGATGTTCTCAATCATGTAGACAGCAACTTCATACTGCCGCAGAGCGACTATAACAAAATGTAATAGACTTAACTTGAGCTCTTCATCTGTAGTCTCTTTGAAGATTTCGAGTAGCCCGGACGACTCTAAACGACACGAGTAAAAAGACTGCTGCATGACATCAAAAAGCGAATAAGACACATCGCTAGTGGCTTTACTAACAGCAGTGGCATTAACGAGGACAGGCTGGTCAGGATCATTTGTCTGTTCCCTGCTCCCTGGCAATAGCGGGGCACGGCTACCGTCCAATATAATATGGTGGCACGGATCGGTTTTGACGCCAATGTTCAATACATGTAACATGACATCGGGGACGTAGGCTACCACCGAGTTCCCTAGCAGCATGAATTGTATGTAGTGACCAGTGTGGGAGGGGCTGGGCAGGAATACCTCTAGGTCAATAACATGGCCGTTGTGAAGGTTGTATATGGAGTACTCTAGCTTCGTAGGAGTTGAAGGTAACGAGTTGTGCTGGGATGGGGAGGAAGGAGGCTCCAGTATGCCATTCTTGTGCTGCAAACACACACACCATACACCTTCATGACTGTGAAGAACCTAAGAAAACATAAGAAGTATGTGTTCTAAATTCTAAGTTAGTACAATAATATGTTAAGTATAAAGTAAGTAATAACTAAGAAGTACATAAGAAGTATTATTTTGTGTATGTACATGCATTATTATTATTATTATGTGCAAGTATTAAGTAAAGTGATAAATTCCACCTCTTACCGCTCACTCCTTCCACTCACCCATTTCTGCTTACCTTCATATTAAGCTCATAAACTGGTAGAGTGAAACCCAACGGAGAAGGATAATAAGTACTAGCTCTAGTGTAATGTGTATGTGGACAGGGAGTAGGTAAAGCAACAGTGATTAGAACCTTCTGTTCTCCATTAAGAAAACTAAGGACATGCAATATAACGGAGCTCTCTGATATATGATGTTTCCCGGATTTTTTTGCCTGTGCCGGAGTGCTACCAAATCTTGCATAGCAAAGCCAGTGCTGCTTTGGTAGCCATTGATACCACGAGACGTTCTTAACGATGACCTCCATGCTAGGCTGGGCGTTCACTATCCATCCTTTGTGGGTGGAGTTGAGCTGAAAGGTATAGAGGCATATCCAGTTGTCCGGTATAATGACAAGCAGGTTGGCCTTTCTTTGATCATTCTTCCTTTGGGTAGGCGACTGAACAAACTGGAGTTTACGAACGTCAGGGCTGGATATGTTGAGAGAAAGGAGACGGTTGCATGGATTTATCTCGGCCACAAAACTCTCGTAGTTAATCCCAGGTGAAGACAAGTCCTCGTATAGAGTAAAGGCAAGGAGAGAATGGGTGGAGTCGATTGTTGCACCTGAAACTCTAATTCTTTTCTCATGAGTATAGAGGGTCCTGTACGAAGGGCTTGACGAATGATATATGCCAAAATGAGTGACAATGGTATCGTTAAGGGGTGCATCCCAAACTAGCAACATGCTACCGTCGTCCTCCTGACCAACAATGGCTGCTGATTGAGATATTATGTCATTGGCCTCGTTATTTTCTCCCACTAGCATGTGTGTCTTTACAAAGTTTTTAAAGTCGAATGTCGTCCTAAAGGAGATGGCCTCGGGTTTTGCATTGGATGAGAAAGCTCTGTCAGGTCTTGAGCCTTCTCTTTTTCCTATTTCCTCGGCTGCCATTGTTTGTAGAAAACAGAAATTACAGATTTGTTTTGGCCTAGCTTGCTTGATCAACAGAATCGAGTAACAGACAATTATAACGGAAAAATCCGGAGAAAGTTATATAAGAACCACGCCTAGAGCCCAGCCTACTATACTGTTCAGCGCTGCGCTGCATGCTCCAGGGCTAGGGAAGTGCTTTATTTGCAATCGTCGTATTTCTTTGCCTAGAGAAATGATATTCGTTTAATAGAAGTAACATGTTTTAAAAGCCAAATAAAAAAAGAGTACTGGCTGGCTGTTGGCGCGACTTGTATGTATTGTGGCAACTGTTGCCTGGCAACAGTAACTTAGCAACAGCAAGTATAGATCTATTAATTTTTGTTCATTTTTCTTTTAAAATTACCCCGCAATTTTCCCCGCAAAATTAGCTTTCCCGGTAAATTTCCCAAAAATTAACTTTCCTGGCAAATTTCCCAGGAAAAAATTTAAAAAATTAATTTTCTCGGGAAAAATTAATTTTCCCAGCAAATTTTCCGGGGAAATTTTTTTAAAATTAATTTTCCCAGAAAAATTTAATTTTCCCGGCAAATTTTCCGGGGAAAATTTTTTTAAAATTAATTTTCCCAGAAAAATTTAATTTTCCCGGCAAATTTCCTGGGAAAAAATTTTAAAATTAATTTTCCCGACAAATTTCTCTGAAAAAAGTTTTAAAAATTAATTTTCCCGGGAAAATTAATTTCTTTCCGGGAAAATTAATTTCTTTCTGGGAAAAATTAACTTTCCCGGCAAATTTCCCGAAAAAATTTTTTAAAAATTAATTTTCTCGGGAAAAAATTTTAATTTTCCCAGGAAAATTTAATTTTCCCAGCAAATTTCCCGGAAAAAAATTTTTTTAATTAATTTTTCCAGGAAAAATTAATTTTCCCAGGAAAAATTAATTTTCCCAGGAAAAATTAATTTTCCCAGGAAAAATTAATTTTCCCAGCAAATTTCTCGGGAAAAAATTTAAATTTAAAAATTAATTTTCCCGGCAAATTTCCAGGAAAAAAATTTTTTAATTAATTTTTCCGGCAAATTTCCAGGAAAATTAATTTCTTTCTGAGAAAAATTAACTTTTCTGGCAAATTTCCCGGGAAAAAATTTTTTTAATTAATTTTCCCAGGAAAAATTAATTTTCCCAGCAAATTTCTCGGGAAAAAATTTAAATTTAAAAATTAATTTTCCCGGCAAATTTCCAGGAAAAAATTTTTTAATTAATTTTTCCGGCAAATTTCCAGGAAAATTAATTTCTTTCTGGGAAAAATTAACTTTTCTGGCAAATTTCCCGGGAAAAAATTTTTTTAATTAATTTTCCCAGGAAAAACTAATTTTCCCAGCAAATTTCTCGGGAAAAAAATTAAATTTAAAAATTAATTTTCCCGGCAAATTTCCAAGAAAAAAATTTTTAAATTAATTTCTCTGGGAAAAATTAATTTTTCAGGCAAATTTCCGGGAAAATTAATTTCTTTCTGAGAAAAATTAACTTTCCTGGCAAATTTCCCGGGAAAAAAATTTTTTTAAATTAATTTTCCCAGGAAAAATTAATTTTCCCAGCAAATTTTTCGGGAAAAAAAATTAAATTTAAAAATTAATTTTCCCGGCAAATTTCCAGGAAAAAATTTTTTAATTAATTTCCCCGGGAAAAATTAATTTTCCTGGCAAATTTCCGGGAAAATTAATTTCTTTTTTGGAAAAATTAACTTTCCTGGCAAATTTCCCAGGAAAAAATTTTTTTAATTAATTTTTTCCAGGAAAAATTAACTTTCCGGCAAATTTCCCGGGAAAAGAATATTTTTTCAGGCAAAATTATTTCAGAAAAAAAATTAAATTTCCCAGGAAATTTTATGAAAAAATAAATTAAAAATTATTTTTCCCCGTTCAATTTCCTTCTAACTTAGCAACAGTAACCAAGCAAAAACAGTATTATCATAGCAACTGTAGCTTGGTAACTGCTAGTTGTTCACAAATTCATTGATTCAAAGTTATAAAAGTGACTCAACTAACACAGGCAGCAAGTACGCTGCCTAAGCTTAAAGACTTTTCCAGCAATAAACAAGGATTAAAACAAGAAAGTAGCCGGACAGCGAGACTAGTCTACCTTGCTTTTTATTTTAGTCTAGTAGAGGGTGTGGCTAGTAATAATTATTAATTAATTAATGAACAAAATGGCATCTTTATCCAGCAAGAAAACAGGTTTTCTAAGCTCTCTTTCATACCAAGTCAGACATTTAACAATGAGTAAGCCATTTAATGGATATAATTTACCAAAAATTGATGATGTTTTACCATTTTTCAGGCAGAGCTAATTGTAATATTATTAATAGTAATAATAATAGTAATAAATATTATGATTTGGTTGTTATTGGAGGTGGGTCAGGTGGTCTTGCTTGCTCTAAGGAAGGTATAGTTCGTTACGTTCATGCTGGCTAAATTTCATTTTTTTGCCTAAACTTTTGTAGCTTCACAGTTAGGAAAGAAAGTTGCAGTCTTGGACTATGTGTCTCCATCACCTCAAGGTATATAATTTATTTATTCTGTATAACACACGGATAAAAGAAACACGCTAATCTTAAACATTGAAAAGAGAACCAAAGCTTTCATTCACAGTATTAATAATAAAATAATAACTATATATAACTAGAAGAGTTCAACACATGAAGGGGAGAGTTTCCTACAGCCATTTTGGCATAGTGCTGAGTTTCTTGTCAGTAGATTTGTTGCTCATAAATCGGGCCAAAGACCATGTACTATAGTACAGGGTATTTTGTCAAAAATGGCTAGGAGATAATTTTCCATTTTTATAATTTTTTCTGATGCATATACATGCACTTATGTTGTATTATCAAATTTGAGCTGATTTCGATAAAAATTGGATTTTTACGAATTTTTAAAGCGACTCAAATCAGGCCAAAGCCTTGTACTATATAGTACAGGGTCATTGATAAAGATTAATTATTAATTTTCTAATTAGGTACTAGTTGGGGTCTTGGTGGTACGTGTGTCAATGTTGGTTGCATACCAAAGAAACTGATGCATCAAGCATCACTAATACACTCTGCTGTACAGGTATCTCTACACAATAAACTGATGGCTACATGTACATATGTATATTACATACCGTATAGCTGAAAATTTTGGAGGGGCAAATTGCTAAATTTTTGGTGATTGGCATATTTTAATTTGACAAATTAATTCATTTAGCTGTACAGTATACACCTCTCTGTTGTATCAGTTACACACTGCTGTTACTTCATACCTGATTTTATTAAATATTTTTAAAGGACTCGTATAGTTATGGTTGGATGGATTCTAATAATGCTAGCTTAAACGTCACTCACGATTGGTAAGTGAGGGTATATTGCAAATGCTAAATGAACATTATTAGTTGTTTTGTCAGTAAAAGGAAATGTGTACTTTTGGTATTTTGAATAGGAACTTATTGGTGGACAATGTACGCAATCATATACTATCATTGAATTGGGGGCATAGAGTACAATTGAAAGAAAAGTTAGCAACTTATTATACATGTCATACTATATGTTATGTCACTATAATGATATATGAACCTTACCTTAAATTTTAAAACTTTTTTTTCATGTATGGACTAATTTATAATTATGTATTTATTATTTTTAGAAAAGTTGACTATTATAATTGTTTTGGTCGCTTTGTGGACAATCACACTATAGAAGCTACAGATAAAAATGGGAAAAAAGTTAGCAAAATAATAATTAATTTATAATACCTACAGCATGTAATCTCTCCATTCCTCCCTCTCTCTCTCTCTCTGTTTCTTTCCTCTCTCCTCTTCTCTTCCTCATTCTTTCCTCTTTAAAGATGTCATTATCTGCTGATAATATTGTTATTGCTGTTGGAGGAAGACCTGCTTTCCCTGATCAGGTATGTAGCTATGACAATTCAATCTATTCCTATAGTTCTCATCAGGTCCCTGGTGCCAGAGAGTTTGGTATTTCAAGTGACGATATTTTCTTTCTAAAGGAACCACCAGGGAAAACGTAATTTTGAATGAATATACTCCTTTATATTTTATTATTTTTGTATAGCCTGGTAGTTGGTGCTAGTTGTATCCTTCATATTATAATTGATTCCTTCCAATTTCCTTAATTTATTGATTTGTTGATTCCTTGATTTCGAACCGATCAGATGTTGCTTTAGAGTGTGCTGGGTTCTTGAACGGTCTCGGATATGAGACATCAGTCATGATTCGATCACAACCACTCAAAGCATTTGACGAAGTGAGCTTTGTTTGAATGTATTTTATTATACATGTACATGTATATAACCATTACATAGCTTTATTTTTTATTTTCTTGTTTTATTACAGCATTTATCAAAGCTTGTATTAGACCACATGGAAGCCGAAGGTGTTGAATTCCTCAGAGACTCCACCCCTTTAAGAGTTGACCGGATAATCAATGAGTCCGGGAAGACAGAGCTTCAAGTCTCTTATTCCACTCGTACAGATAATTCTAATAATAATGGCAGCCAAGAAATGCACAAGGTAATATTTTATTGATAATTAATAATAATTAACACTTCATAATGTTGTTATGATATTTGTGGGTCTGATCCCACACACATTGGTGTCTCCACCAATCTACCACTAGCTCATAATTAGTTCCCACATTTCCTACCACCAAACATACAGTGTGTGTACTTTATACAAATAAGCTTCCTATTTTTCTTATTCATTATTAGCATCATTTGTATAACACAGCCCATTAGTGCATGCAATAATTGAATTTCAAGTGTTACATAAAAGAGTTGTGTAAACTCCTATTACAATTCTTACTTATGGAGTAGTGTATAGAGTTACACTTACATTATCTTACTCTCTCTATGTGTATCTCACCAAACCATTCACATACATTTGAATCCATTTACTCATTCTTATAATCAGCTTACATCTACCGATCACTTTATTTCATTACAAATTGCTTTACATGCTACATGTACTTAATGGTACACCCTTTTACTCATTCTTATGTACTTAATGTATATACACCCATTTACTCATGCACTAGCTTTCACGTACATATTTATGTGCACACATCACTAGAGATGCAAGGGTATCATATGGACACTACTGACAGTTGCAGTCTAGCCTCACTGGAGCATATCTTAATGTTAATACCATGTACGTGACATACAGTGCACTGTTGAGCTGTATTGTTATAGTACTACTGTTAAAAGCATGTAATATATTGCACTGTATTTAGCAATAGTGTCCATGTACTGATTAGTTAAAAGGATATCACTTTATTGCCTTTAATGGTATAATTTTGTGTGTGTGTGTGTGTGTGCTGGTAATGGGGCCATTTGTTACTCACTATAATGGAGTTAAGAGTTGTACTGTCACAATAGGACCAGTATAGTCTCATTAGAAATTGACTTACCGGCTAACCCCATTACTACATTGAATATCATATATAATTCATATTTCTTATTATATACAGTAACTTCTGTGAGGATGAAATGTCATTTTATCATCATCATCATCATGATCATCATGCTTCAGTACTAATTCCACTGAGAGTTGCATCATTACCTCATACAATAAGAGTTTAAGCTAAAGTCTCAATGGGATTAGCAATACTTTAGTACACGTAACAAGAGATAGGGAGAGAGGAAGAGATATATAATATTATATTTCCTCAATGGAGCTAAAGACATTAATATTTTAATGGGGGAAAGTATTGTGTGTCTCAATGGGATTGAGAGTACTCACTGTAGAACCATAAGTGACGACTGATACCATACCCACTGACATATCAGAGGAATAGATTCTCTCCCAGTGGAATTGATGAAACACTCATGGATAGAGAGAGAGGGAGAGAGGGAGGGGTTAGAGAGAAGAATGAGGATAAGCTCAATTGCTGTTTACATTACACGTGTACTTTTTGTCCTAGTCTATATAATCTTGTTCAACTTTTGTTCTGCACATATTCCTTGCATACATACATGTATCTCTGTCCATGCAAAAACACAGCACACATACAGTACGTGTACATCTTGAAAGCAGACAGAGATTATAATTAGTAGTAGATCGTGTATAATTACTATCAATGTGTGGGTGGTAGTTGTACATGTATGTACATGTACATGTTTCTGTGAGCCACTGATGACATTAATTTCCCAGAATCACGACATCACCTTATTAGTCATTATTGTCATTCACACCATACCCAGCTACATGTACCTCACTATGTCTTCACTATTAAACCTTTTTTATTGATCCACACAGGTTGCTGTGGATACGGTTCTGTTTGCTACTGGTGAGAACACACAGACACACACACTCACATTCCTGTCTCACTATGAGTCATCTCTCCCTCTATCTCCCCCTACTCACAGGAAGGAGGGCAGCTACTACAGACTTGAAACTTGATATACTTGGTATTCAAACTGATGTCTCCACCTGTCAGATTCCAGTTGATGATAATGATGCCACTAGTCTGCCTAATGTGTTTGTTATTGGTGACGCGGCTCTAGTGAGTTTTTAAAAATATCAAGTTGACTGAACTTGACTCCTTTGTTTCTAATTAGTGTCACACGATTCTAATTAATGGCACGGTTTTATTGCTGCGCCTGTTTTGTCATTTTAATTATAAAACTACTTTTAGGGAAGGCCAGAGTTAACCCCGGTAGCCATAATGTCTGGTAAACTATTGGCAAAGAGATTATACTCAAACTCAAGTGAACTAATGGATTATAAAATGGTCAGTGACAACAAACACAAGCTTACGTCATGCATGTATACCATATGGACCCACGACATATAAGTATAATGACGCCAGTCCATGTTTTGTGTGATTACTATACAGTTCTCACAAGACGTTCATTATGTCATATAGACATGTATGTACATTGTCCATTCATGAATGCACACACACACACACACACACATACAGTAATTCATTCATCCATTCATTTATTCAGCTAGTAAACAAGGCATTAACCCTATTAAATGTTAAAATGGGTCGGTGATTATGTCCCTTGGATGTTAGATATCATTCTGTACCTCATTAACCATTCATTAGTTTACATGCACTACTGACAATGAGTGTGTGTGTGTGTGTGTGTGTGTGTGTGTGATTTTTAAAAATATTTTAATGTACTATAAAGCATACCTGTGTACACTGGACAGATGCATATGGATCTAATGTGATTCTTGAAAGATGTTTTGTTTCCATTCCAAGGCTCTTACTTTCTCTTGGAAGGGAGTATGATATAGTATACAATACTGATAATTGTTTACGGCATTCTAACCATTCACACCCATCCAGACAGCTCAATATAGTAAAATAAATTCATTGCGTGTGTCGATCTTCATGTCACGTTCTTCTTGTGGGTGGGAGTTTATACCTTTTATGTACTTTATTAATCGTAATCATTAATCTTACCTATGTACACTGCACAGATGCGCATCCATGTAATGTACATTGTGCAATTCTTGAAATATGTTTTGTTTCCATTCCATGTACCTTTGTCGCTTTCTCTTGGAAGAGATATGTACTATACAGTACTGATAATTGTTTACGGCATTCTAACCATTCACACCCATCCAGACAGCACGAAGTACACTCGATATAACAAAATGAATTCATTTTGGTGTGTCTTCAGGTCACGTTCTTCTTGTGGGTGGGAGTTACTTTATACCTTTTATGTACTTTATTACACTTAATCATACCAGCTCATCATTTTAATGATAACATCTATCACATTGAAAAAAGTACCTTTTACTAGTTTACCATGTTCTCTGTCCATGAGTCTGATGATTATGTATTTACTGTCTCACGCCCACTTTATGTGGGGAAAGTCATAGCCACATCCTTTATCCCTTTGATTTTGTTTTGATTCCCTGATTAATATTGAGGTGTGTGTGTCCGTCACTCGTTAGAGGAGAGTCAGTTTGTGTGGGTTGAGGGAAAGATATCAGTCATAACAATTGATACCTACCTATTATCGATTCATGAGGATCGACTGTATACTGTATGTTGTAACAGTACTTATGTTCAGTGAGTGAGTATAATATAAACTTGTGTGTGTGCCTTGCTACACATGTACTTTATTATTGGTATGTGCATTGCTATGTATGCATAAATCATTGCATTGTATTTATGCATTTAAATATATAATTGTGTTGAGTGTGTGTACTATAATTGCTAATATGGTAATATAGTGATTTTGAAGTATAGTTTGTGTACTATTTTGTATGTGTGTGTCTTTCTCTCTTACAAAGAACTACTAGTGGATGCCTGTAGCATTTAGAGCCTGTGTTTACTACAAAAAGTGACACATACACGTACTGTATACAGTCATTCTCACTCTTTTTCTTTTGTGTAGTACAAATCATCTACACTACGTTGTTCGTGTACATTTATGTGCATGCATACGTCTTGTATTTCAATTGATTGTTTGTTCATACGTGACAGCAGGCCGGCCCGACATGGAATCTGACCGTCTGTTTACAATACATGTATTATGGGATATTGTTATTTGTATTGTTGTTTAAACAGTATCGAGTGAGAGAGGAAGGGAGGAGGGAAGGTGCACATGCAGATACACTTGTTACATATTGTGTGTGTGTGTGTGACTGCCGGATTATGTTTGCTTTGACTACATTATCAATGATAGTGTTAATCCATTAAAGTGTCTATATACATGCATTCGTGCATCAATCATATGCTTGTTCGATATATCTTAGAGGCTCTTGTGAAAGGAGAGGGTAGGGGGTTAAAGGTGGAAGATCAGTATAGCGAAGGCAAGAATTTTTTGAAGCCATATATTGATCAAACGGTGGCAGCTCATTAACATTTATTATTAAAAATATGTAAACACAACATACGCAAATGCTTCTAATTGAGTCCTGCAACATATTTGTGTTTGTTTATGTGTTTCCCTTTAGGAAATAATTGGATCTATATTGTCATTTTATTAGTTGCCTGGATACATATGTCAATAATCACGTTACTTCATATTGGATTACTCCATGCTTGCATGAGCTTACGTGCTGCATTATAAGCTTGTCCCGTATAAGATATAATTATTGTGTTATGCTAATTGTGTTCATGCTCATCATAGCAACATAATTGCCTAAATAAACCATTGAACTACTGATGTTGAATGAATTATAGAGACACACCTAATGCCACACACAGTACTGGTAGACAACCAGTCACCTACACACATCATGCATTACGCACGTAAATTAGAGTATCGATGTACTTTTATTGATGTACTTTCGTGGTATGTATGTATGTATGTATGGCCCCATATTTCCTTATTGTAAATTGTTTTGTGTTGTTGATGGCTCTGTTGAGTCTGTTGACATGTGTGAACTCCAGGTTGAAAAACGCTCAAGAATGCTCGTGACGTTATGTACCTAGGAATGAATGAAATGCCAATTACTTGCTATGATGCTTGTATGTGTGTACAGCGCATAGGACATGTGGTGTCTACACATGTACATGTACATTATACACGTGTTACGCATGCAACATGTATGCCCTCATACCTTGTAATGGTTGCCACAGCAGATATACATGCTCGTGCATGCTAATAATTATTTTTGTGAGCCTCTAATGTCATTTGTTAATTTGTTAATTTTTTGCATCAGGTTCCTACAACAGTCTTCACTCCATTGGAGTATGGAGCCATTGGGTTTACTGAGAGACAAGCCATTGATCAGTTTGGAGAAGAGAATGTCGAAGTAAGAACAAATAAATATTAAACTATGACTTGGTATGGTGTGCAAATGATTGTACCATTTTAATATTTATTATTATTATTTTATATAAATCTATACTTATTATCATTGTGGTTTGTGTTATCATTATTATTGATCAATGATACTGCTCAGCATTACCTTGTTAGATACATGCACATCTAGGCCTTCCTTTCCTTTTTGATTCACTACAAGTACAGCATAATTCATGCTACATGCATATGCATGTTCACTGCCCATATTGTATCATGGACTTATATGCATTGATCCACTTGTGCTACACGTCCGTAATGGTATACCGGTACTCACATGTTTTGATATTAAATATGAACTCTTAGATAACACGGTCGTACTTTAGGGGGAAAACCACAAGAAGGGTTTCTCTTATCAGTCATTTATGCTTACTACAAGAAGTGTCATAGATACTGTGTTAGTTCTGGTTTGTTGGTGTGTGGTTAAGTGGTGTCCCTTCTTGTCTCCTTGGTGTCTCCTCTTATAATTAATGGAAGACTTACTTGGGTGGCATATAAGTTGACATGTTGCTGGTTTCCACGTACAGTGTGCATGCATTTGGGTCTCTCCCCAGGATTTGTTTTCTTCCTCTGACTATAGTTCATTTATTAGTGTTTCCTTATTTCCACTGCCTCCTTCTTTCCTTATGCTTGTTGTTGGTCCCCTCCATCTCTTTGTCCTCCAGCTCTACCGGCTCCCTAGTACACTGTATATTGTTATTGCTAAGATGTTTTTGATATCATTTATTATCATTATTATTTTATTATTTTATTTTATTATTATTATTAGCATTTTTTGTATAGGTGTTCCATGCATTTTATAAGCCACTGGAGTATTACTTACCATTCCGTAACAGCAATCAATGTTATATTAAGGTATCGTCATGTCTGCATTACCATATACAGAATTTCCCACAAAGTTCACAAAAAATCAAAATTTGATTGGAATGAGCTCGAATTTGATACACAACATAAAATCATGTATATATGTATCAGAAAAAATTATTAAACAGAAGATTCTTTTATTGTGATTTTTGTTGAAATAGCCTGTACTATACAGTACAGGCTATTTTGCCCAGTTTTTAAGCAACTTGACAATCCACTGACAAGAAGCTGCATGAGCACATGCCAAAATCCTGTGGGGAAACCATGACCATGTAGTACCATTATATCATTGTCATTCATTCTACTGCACCTCATTAACTGGAGTAATGGAACTGATACTTGCTAATGTCAGTCTACTCCTCTTATTCTTTAGGTTGTTTGTGCTGCCACTGAAGGGAGGGAGAGAGTTGTTGGTCTTCATATGACTGGCCCTAATGCCGGTGAGGTTGTTCAAGGGTTTGCTGTAGCCATAAAGTGAGTGGGGGAGGGAGAGGAGGGCGACCAAGAGAGGAGAAAAGAGGGGAATTAAATTACCATATTGTGGTGCAGCCCTATTAGTATTTATTGGCTTCTTTGTTATTATTATTTTATTATTACTTGATTTGTTATTATCTACAATGAATCCTATTCTGTGCACATGCATGTACATGTACATGTACATGTACATGTACAATGTAGAATAAACTGTTGCAGTAGCTCAAGTACATTACATATACATGTATGTCGTTAATATGGACATGCAGCAGTACATGTACATGTACATGCTTGAATTGTCTTTTTGTGTGTGTGTGTGCTTGTGTACATGTAGTTGTACAGTGTGGTTTGGTGTTTCTCTCCCTTTTAATTTGATTACACAGATTGATACACATCCTGGAATCCAATAATGATGCCCTTCAAATGCTTCTCATTCCACCCTCTCAGTCACTCCCTATACAGTATAGGACTATGTGGGGCAGCGTCCCCCTTTGTTTTCTACTACATTGTATAATTGTATTGAATATATGGGTGCACTGTTATATGTAGTATGTCATAACCACATGTTTATGCGTACACTGTACTACTACGTGTGTGTATGACGTACTGGATGTGTATTGCGTGTATGTTCAATGTATGATGTATGTGGGTGAAGCGTATTGCGTGTTGTGTATGTGTGTGGTTTGGTTGTTTGGCAACTTGCTGTAGATAAAGGGAGAGGGGGAGGAAGGGTATGAGAACTAAAGGAGAGAGAGAGAAGTGGGAGAGTTCCTTCTGTATTAAACCACACACTGTAATTGATACTTATTGGGTACAAACAATAGGGTAGGGGAAACAAAGCTACTCTACTAAAACTCTTGGAGTATCTCCCTGTATGTTCTTCAGTACCTGTAGCACTACATGTATGGGAAGGGTGAGGGGGAGAATTAAAGATCCAAAGAGTCAATTAGATACAAAAGACTGTATTATATGTAGTGTCATTGTTTATTCATAAGAGGTTTATATTGCCCTATACCTCACAGACCACTAATCTGGTGTTAGGGAGGAGCTTATAACAAGTATATCTCTTATTAAACAGCTGCTACTGATGGCGCCCTGCTTTACACAATACTGAGGTTGTGTGGTTGTTGTAGTCTTTAAGTGCTTTAAGAGGATAATAGTTACCCTCTGACCTGCCCTCCAGGCTGTTTGATAGCCATGGAACTTCCCCCTAGTCAGATCTCTGAGTCACTAATAACAACTGTCAGCATATTGTTAAGATTATCAGCTGTGGCAAATAATAACAGACTAGCTGAGGGAGGCAAATGTGTATCATGTTCCCTCCTCATCCTCTCTGCAGGTCAAGTATAGAATAACTGAACATGTGTTGGGATGGATAGGGTATCAGTTTTAGGTTATTCATAGGGTGTATGTGTTTATGAACATGGTGCTGTGCTGGTAACTCTGATAACCTAATAGACTGAGAGAAAGAGAGAGAGGGAGATAGAAAGAGAGAGAGAAAGAGAGAGAGGGAGATAGAAAGAGAGAGAGGGAGAGAGAAAGAGAGAGAGAAAGAGAGAAAGGGAGAGAGAAAGAGAGAGAGGGAGAGAGTGGGAGAGGTGAAAGACCTGTGTACCCATCCAGTACCTGAGATGATAGAGTTCACTGATTATACTAGTATTGATGTGTACTAGTGGTTTGGTGGTCTGTGTACCCGTATGTCTTATTGTAACTGTACCATACACATCCGATTGTGTAAGTCTAATTGTATGTAACAATGGAATTAGGGTTTAATGGTGTGTGTAATGAGTATTTGATTGTTTATTAAGAGCATAGCATTGTTTCATACTCTTGTCTTCCTTCCTCATTCCTCTCTCATGAATCCATCTCTGCGGTACCACGGGGTCTCACTATGTTATGCTTTTATGTCATTGATGACCTATGCTATATGTGTCTTTTATTATGCTTCCCCTCTCTCTCTCTTCCTCTTTCTCCTTACCCTTCCCTTGTAGACGTGGTATTACAATGAGAGACATACAGTCCACAGTGGGTATACATCCAACTGTAGCAGAGGAGGTTGTCAAGTTACATATAACTAAGAGTTCGGGGGAAGACCCAACAGTCACTGCCTGCTGAGGCTAAATCTCTTCTCTTGTCCTCCACTGTGTAACCAATCAAGATGAGGTAATTTATATATTTTATATTGCATGCTGCAGCAGTTTTATGTGGTTTATTATGTCATATTTATTATTATTATTATTATTATTATTATTATTATTATTATTATTATTATTATTATTATTATTATTATTATTATTATTATTATTATTATTATTATTATTAAAACTGTGCACGTACATGTACATGTATATGCATTACCTTTTATCAAGGTTGTTTGCATGTGAAAGTGTTAAAAACTAACTAGTGAATCCTTTTATCATTGATCATGTTGTGGTTAGAAACAGGATTTATTATCAGTGCTCCCCCCCCCACTCTCTCTCTCTCTCTCTCTCTCTGTTTGATTTAACGGATGTACATGTACATGTACATGAATCTTGTACTATGCATAATGTACTTGTGCTTATACATACATGCAATAGAATCAGTTAATTTGCATTAAATGTGTTATTCTATCGACAAAATGTAGTGTCTGTCTGTGTATGCACATTTAATCACTTACAATATCTCTCTCTCTTCTCTCTTTCTTTCTTACTCTAAGTGAGTGTTTTCATAAGACATCATCATGATATATTCCATGAAATGTGATACGCCTATAAATCCCCTTACAGATAACCCTATCTTATGTATCCATCTCTTTTTTCTTTCTCTCTCCAGCTGGAGAGTTTCTGGGGGGAATTTTTATGCACATTATGTATAATCAGTTTTGTTTTGGTGGGAAATTTGAGACACTTTGATAGAAATAACTTTAATCAATTATTATAATACAGTCAGGGGAAGTTATTTCATGACAGAGGGACTGAGTTAGGGTAAGCTTTATGGCCCTTCCCTTCATTCTCTTAGTCTGCAACCATTCATGTCTCCTTCTGTGGTTTATGGGTGATGATGATGATGGTCATGTTTATGCCAATAGTCTCCTTGTTTGTGCACAAACACCATATTTCCCTACACGATGATTTAAAGCATGTGTTATACATGTGCTCATGTTGCCTGTGACCTTTAATCCCCTTTATAATGCATTTTTAGCTTGGCTCCTTTAATTTCCTCTATTCCCTATAGTTTCATTATCCAATACTACCAATGTAATTCTACAGTACTATATTAATGAATGTACATGTACATGTATGCGTATTTATGTATACATGTATGTGTGTGTGTGTTTATCAGTAATAGTCATTTTAATTAATTTTGTGGCTATGTATATCCGTATTGTAAATTTACCTACCTGCATATCACAACTGGTCTCTATGGAAACTAGTCCCATGGCACCGTTACAATGCTATCATGTGTCACAAGGAATGCAGTACATGTACTGTATGTGTGAGGTTAGGTCGTGAGAGAGAGAGAGAGAGAGAGGGAATTAAAGTACACTGGGTTTGGCTCTGTATTGCATTAGTGTGGAATCTTTCCAGCTGCTATGATGATGATCCATTTGTTGCCATGGAGAGCCAAGACTAATTTGATTTAATTGCTGGGAGAAGAGCCTGTGGTAAGATGAGGAGGAGCTCTCGGGTTGATTGACCCTTCCACAGACCAAGACAAGCCTCTCATGTACATGTACATGTACATGTACATGTCTTTAGGGATTGGATGATGTGTAGTATATGAGTGGTGATGTGCTTATGTACGTGTGTGCGTGTGTCTGTTATTGTGCAGTAGTACATGTGAGTGTTTGTTTCTTTCTGCATGGAATGAATGTCATGATTGGTATTACTGTAATTTGGAAATTTGGGATGTTGGAAAAGGTGCAAAAAACAAAATAAGAGCGAGAGATTATTAATACTATATGATTATCAGAAGTTAATTAGCCCTATGTGTGTTATGTAAACTCATGTAACATGAAAGATTAGTGAACTGCCTTGTGTAATATCTTGTGGTAGATTATGTGTCAAATTATACTGCCTTTGGGTTTATTCATGAACCTTTCCCTTCCTTCATTTCCTCATTTTTATCTTTAAAGGCAATCACGTAAAGCTAATATGTACATTTTACACGTACACATGGAGCTCCTGGTTTCTATGTATTTTACATGTACATTCATGTTAATGCCTCCATATTAGTAGCTGTACATGTATGTGAACAGCATCTAATCTCCATATTGTATGAATAATGTAGCTGTATATGTAGGGACTGTATACAAGGAGATGTGGGTCGTGTACATGTACATGTATTTTGTGGCTGTCAGTCTTTTTCTTCCTAAACCACACACTTTGCTGACAGCCAATTCTTTTGAAATGTGAGGGATATGATGGAAGGGAGACTGAGAGAAGGAAGAAAATAAGAAAAGGGATATAATGGTAGCAATCATGCCTATACACACGTATGCACAATGTACATACATGCACACTTGATCTGTTGGAAAAAGGTCTTTGATTAGGAGTATAAAAAGTTAAAGAAAACACACACACACACAACCTAAAGTTGCAGTACTCTCTCCTTGCCAGAACACCTGTCATTCCTTGAATTACATGTACATGTACATGTAAATCTAGAGAGAGAGAGAGAGAGGGAGGGAGAGAGATCATACATGTAAATGTGAATGTGTCACTCTGCTTGTTGTATAACAAGGCACTTGTAGGTTATACCTGAGGGCTAGACTTGCTGACTCTCTCTCTCTCTTATTTTCTTTATGACATGGTGATGGACAGCCTTAATATGGATTCTGAATTGACTCCTAATAGCCATAAGCACCAACTCTCAGACTAATTTGAATAAAAGGTAGCTCGTGTATACACACACACACACACACCAGCTGCCCCTTCCCCAGTGACCTTGCTCCCTTTCATGAGTAATATGTACTTATATGTACTTGTTATTTAATGTCATTAAGTACATGTTCATGTACTTGTATGTGTGTACGGTACATGCCCTGCAATACATGTACATGTACATGTACATGTACATATAAAGTGTAACATTATACCATGTTCTTGTACATGGGATTAGGGCTGCGCTACTTGCATTATGTGCACGTACCGTCATTTTATTATTATTTAATTTTTCTACTAAGGTACAAATACTGTACATTTTTATTAAATGTTCTGTTCCTGTTTCTGCCTCCAGTGTCCCTTGTATCGTGTTCATGTATCGTTGAAGCCATTCAGCCATGTTTCCTGCCTCTAATGTAATACAATTTGTCGTTTTTGTCTAATTGAATTTGTTTCTCCACTAGTATGAAGCTGCTCTGACATCAGTCATTCATTTTTATGTCTTAATATGGACCGGGCTCCACGAGTGTCTATGTCTATCATATGTTTGTTTACATGACTTGATACATTAATACATATCTCTCCTGCACTGATCTCTTTATATGATTTTGTTTTCAAAAATCTCTCAATTATCTGGTTCAATGCTCTGACACTATTAATTGAAGGCTTAAATCCTAATATACCTCTACATTTACATATACATGTATTGGGTAGCTGTTAAATTTCTACATAATGTACATGTACATGTACGTGTGTACATGTACATGTACACGTACATGTACATGTACGTATGTATGTGTCTATGTGTACTACAGAGCCATTGAAGCCTTATTGCAGACTTGTGTACCATTCTAAGAATTGCATCACTTTTCATACTAGCTGTACAATCTATAGCCTTGCAAAGTCTAAGTTGGTTCATAAAATCATATATTTGATTGATCAAAGGGAATGAGGGACAGCTGGTGCTGGGCGTGCATGTGTGCAGCTAACGAGGTGTGATTAGATTTCATTTCTTTTATCGTTGAGTGGTTTGTTGACATGATGTTTGATTTAATCTGTTTAGCGCTTGATTCCTGGACACAGTATGTTTATCATGTGAGAGTGTACGAATAAGAGGAATAGGACGCAATGCATACACAACCACAGTAGTAGTAATAATAGTGTGTAGTGGTCGGCATGAAGTAATGGAATTTACTCTTTTTAATGCTCTCTCCCTCTCTCTCTCTCTCTCTGTTTTCATTATAAACTATGCGTTAAGCCTAGCTAATATCAATTGTTTGTACAGTGTATTGATGAGCAGGTGGTCACTGTTGAGTCAGTAGCGCCAGTCAGCTCTCCCTTTCGCTCTTAATGTTGTCTTTTCTGTTCTCTTATCAGTCAGTGGTAGGTAGTACTGATCTGGTCTTGTTGCAACCGTTGGTAGAGTGTAATATCTCTCAAAGTACACTGTTACTGATAAATCCATCAGTTAAGATAGGCCTCAGAATAACTGTCATGTCTCTTATTGTGTCCATCATCATTAGTCACTCTAGTTCTGTCATGTGTCTGTGTACAGTATCACAGTCCATGTACATGTGTTAGTGATAAGGGGCTGAATGATCATATTGTTCTTAATAATGTCAATTATGTTGTCCTTTGTTTTTGCTTCACTTGTCTTTCTTTGTATTCCTCATTCTCCACTTCTCATTCTCCCTTTACTTCGTCTCCTCTTTCCCTTTCATTACCATGTCACTCACTAATGGCTGTACATTGTATTTTATTTTCATTGATGGTTATCTTTCACCAAAAATGGCTCTGAATACATACATGTATAAGTGTCATATGCTTTCTAGAAAGTTTGAGCTGACTTTGATCTCAAAATTTAATTTTAGCCAATATTGATTATATTTTCCTGAAATGGATACCAGAAGATTCTCTTAGCTCACCATGGAACTATGGAATCGCTACATGGACACAAACACAGAGAGAGAGACCACAATTGAACTCTGTGTGTGTCTCTGTACTGTATGGTGTGTCTCAGTTAATGGACCAGCTAATTGCCATCTGGTTTCAATCAGACTTGTGGCACCACGCATGTACATGATGCTTTGTATAATTCCCCACCTGCCCACTCACTCTTTATTCATTAACCCACTTCTCTCATTATTAGAGCTAAGCTCCTGACTATGAACACATGTAGACATAATTAAGAATTTATTAGCAGCCATTCTAGTGTGATCTTGATTGACTTTATTATACACGTACATATATGGACATGTACATGTACGTATTGTTATAAAGCCCAGTGCACACACGTATCCCCATGCTATTGCTTCAATAGGATGTGATGTGAGTGTGCTTATAAGCACTTTATTCACAGCACCATCTACCCACACCTACATGTACATGTACATGTATGTATGTTTACACACACACACATAATGAGATATGCAAGCATGATCATTTCTATATAAAAAGGATTCTTAATTACATGTAGCTCTCTCTCTCTTTTATGTGTCTTTTTTCTCTATTTTTCTTCTCTTTGTCTCTCTCTTTCTCCATCATCACTGAAGCAGCTCTACAAAAATTCAAATTAATATTATTATAGTCTGATTTGTTTTGATTCTATGGCCTCCACTCATCTCTCATCTGTTTAATTGCTAAATTACTTAAACCTTTGCAATAATTGCCTCATTATACACAGCTTGGGCACACACACACACACACACACACACACACAGTCAGTCGGTATTATTATCATTATTTTATGTAAATGTACTCTTTACTCTCCCTCTCTTCCCGACCCTCTTTCTCTACTACGTGTACATGTATAAATGCATGTACATGTATACGTGTGTACATGTGTATAGTTAATACAGTGCATGTATATGGGGATGAATCCTTGTAGTGAACAATAGCTTGGCTCTCTTTTTGTATTGTTATGTACTATACTCTATCATGCATACAATGTCTGCATACTCCAGTACACATAAGCCTACTGTACTATCATAATGCTATATAGTATTATTTATATCATTATCATTATTATATTATTATAATATTATTATTATTATGTTATTTTGATTATATATATAATATATATATACATATACACATGTACATGTATGAAGTGCATTTTGAGTGCTCTTTTGTGTGCATGTGACCACAATCCAGTATATTATTTTTGTGCATGCGTGTATTACTCCAGTGTTTTCATACTGTCTGAATGTCAATATATACATACAGTAGTGAGTCTTTGTAACTAACCAGAGCCTTATATCAGCTTTTCTTTATAAAGGAACTAATGTAGTCAGTCATTCAAATTAGCAACTGCCTAATGGAGATTATTAGCTTCCATGGGGACCATTTTGAGATACTCATCATCAGTACTAGTGTAGTATTGTAGTCTCAGGAGCTATTGAGTGGAGTCCATTTGTATTTGTATGTGGTGGTGATTGTGTTAAATTATTCTCTTTAATGAGAACCAGATGTATTATAATGAGGGTGGGTCCTAATCTAATTACCACCTTATGGGAAAAGGCTATTGTTGGAGTTCTGGGATTTATGATCATGCACTCATATCATCCGTCCCTTCACACACACACACACACACACACTCAAACTAGGACTGACTGTTAGAGTACTTATATACTTAATTACATAATCAATTTCACTATTCACATGTGTATATGTATGTATGTGTGTTTCATTGCATTTACAGACAAAACTATGCATGAGTTATTTCCTATAGACAAAGCAGCAGGCTGTCTCTGAACCCTAGCCTTTATTATTGGGTGTGGATTAATGACATTTAGAATCAATGTATTGTTGTGTACGACTGCATGTAAATAATTAATTGGTTCCGAATTATGATGCCAAATGTAATTTTAAAATCGATATTGTATATTTAGCTCAAATATAATTTAAATATTTAATTACTCTTGGTGTAGAGTATGTGTGGCATAATGTCTATTTTGTACCTGTACTGAGTGTATAACATACAATGTATATACAACCTTGGCTCCCTCTCTTTCTCCCTCCCTCCTCTCTCTTTTGTTGTGTCTGTATGTGGTTTCACTGCCTTGTTTAAAACAAAGGAAGGCATTATGCATACTCTCTCTTTCTCTCTCTGTACTATCAATATAGTAGCTCCGTGGCAACAGCTGTGTTGTCAAGGATACTTTGTTATTTTTGCATTTAAGTCATGAATATACATTTGGCAAATGACTAAGTAGAGTAAGAGTGATTGCATATCTTCTCTCTCCCTCTCTCTCTCTCTCTCTCTCTCTCTGTCCCTTTCTTCTAGTTTTGTGTGTACACTTTTATATCACTATTGATGTTAATGCCAACGCGTCGTTATGCTGTTAATGACTCTAGCATGTGTCCATGCCTTGTGTGTAGCCAGACTGAATGTCCAGTAATAGGGACTTACTTTGTGTAGTAAATAAATGTAAGGGAACATTGATCAACAGGAACAGCAATTGCCCTCTATTCTTTTTCTGTAATCTTATCTGGCCTCTCTTGCCCTCTCACTTTCCTGCTCTTTATCAGCCTTCCCTTTCCTCTATCATGGGTACAACCACTCTTTCCTCATCTTCTTTAATTACTCTCTCTCTCTCTCTCTCTCTCTCTCTTTCTCTCTCTCTCTCTCTATAAATTTATTTATATAATTATATACTTGTAATACTGTGCATGACTTTATTTGAACATGTTTTTGGTCTCTAATCACTTCATAGCTCCTCCTTTGAGGTATGTACAAGTGGCTGTGGGCTGGTATCCACTTGTCTGAAGAGCATAAGGCACTTGATTCAAGAGGGCATCACATAACATAGGGCAGTGCCTATTGACCATGAATCTTGTTGAACACTTAACACTTGTTCTCCCACTTAACCGCTTTGATACTTATCATGGCTCTTATTCATTTTCTCTCTCCTCTCTTTCCTCTTTCTCTCTATTTCTCTCCCCCTCTCTCTCTCTCTCTCTTTCTTATTGGCCTTTCTTTCTTTCTTTCTTTATGTAATTGACTTATTGTCTGTATTCCATGCCAATAAACAATCATGCCAAAACTCTCAAAGTATTACTCACCACACAGTAGGAATGACTTGGCTAGCTATAGATAGCTACGCTTGCCTCTCTGGGAATGTGTATTACACATGCATGTCGTGCATTCAGTACGTGCATTACATACGTACATACATGTACATGTACATTTGTGTCTTTTATAATCTTATTTGTAGTTTAACAATTCATCTACTCTAACAATTAAAATCTTTTTAAGTGTGCATGTTTGCGTAATTTGTGATTGTTTCCTGGGGCAGTAGTCTCATTCTCTCTCTCCCTTCCTTCCTCTCTCTCTCTCTCTTTCTGTTTACTCTAATTATTCTCGTGTGTGATATGACAATGGCTGTTAAATTTTTATTTCACTATGATGATCACACATCATAATACTGCACACTGACCACTGATACACAAACCCATACGAAATATTCACATGCATGTACACTCATGGCCTCTTCTGTCAATAATTATTATATCCTACAGAGAGATGTATAGCTTCTACCTGTACACAGGCTGTGTAAACTTGCCTTTTAAGCAATTCTGACCACAAGAGACTCTCTGTCTCTCTTTCCTCTCTGGTAAACTAACTACTGCAGGCTCACAGTTTACACAATTATATGTCCTCAGTTAGACCCACTATATTAGAAGAGGAAGGGAGAGTGGGTTGGAGGTGATGTTAATTTATATAGCAACTCTAATTACCTGTAAACATATAGTAAACTATGCCTTTGTGCTTCTGTCTGTGTACATGGAGTTGTACCTACATGTGTGTTTGGTGTCCATGTCTCCTCCTCTCTTTTACTACTCACATACTCTCTGTGTGTGTCATTTTATCTCTATGTGTGTGTGTGTGTGTGTGTGTGTGTGTGTGTGTGTGTGTAATTTTTGGGTAGACGACTTGTCTTTTAGGCAAAACTTCATAATCCAATTAATTTATTGACTTATCCTGAAGAGGTATGTCAGTTTACACAGGCTGGACTACAAGTATAAACTCAGGCCGACCACTAGCTACCTCTCCTACACATGTATCAAACCATATAATCAATCTATGAGCCGTCTTCGGGATGTAAAGGGCGGGCAGGCTCCTCACCACAGCATACCCTCCCACATCTCAGAAAACTGGTAAAACCGGTTTGGGGAACCTTTTGAACTGAGCACGCAGTGTAAACTGAGGCTAGACCTCATTGTGTTGTAGATAGGATCATTCCCCACCTGGACTTATCATCATTGCTTTACATTTTTAAAATTATAATGTTTTTATGTAACTCAGTTTTTATGTCATTATTACCTCTCATCTCTATTTCATGTGTCACCATTGAGTTTATGTTTATGTTTTAATGTGTATTTAATGAAAGTGTTTGTTTGCTTTTCTCTGACTTTTGTTTCTTGTATTTTCAAGTGTTTTTTGTTTTGTCTTCTCTAGTTTTTAAAGAGGCGGGGGTGTGATTGAACTCAAGATATTGATCTGTTGGCAAGAGAACGTTTATTCTTTTCTCATTTTAGAAGTCTTTCCGACTTTTTTCTCTTCTCTCCTCTCTCTATCTTTCTCTCTCTCTTTCTTCCTTTTCTTTCTCTCCTTCAATTGCTCAGTGATAGTGATCCTTTAAACCTTTAATGAAAGGGAAGGGTAACTTGATGGTATGAGCTATGCATACTACAATAACAACTGGATTATCTACTTTCTCCCTTTGGCGTGCAATTTGCACGTCGTCTTTTTATAAATTTGTAGAATTAGAAGAATGATTTATGTAATTCAAAGAGAGGGAGAGAGAAGCTCATAATTGCCATAGCTGACTAATGGAAGACTTGGTTTGTCAGTATATTTCCGTTTTAGCCATCCACTTCCTTGGCTTCAATAACATCATTTTATATGAGGGTCTACTGTGTAGCATGCATGCTGTAGCGTATAAAACCTCTCCTGGTCCTACAAAGAGGGCAGAAAGGAGGAAGGCTAGAGTGTCATGTGCCGGCAGTCTCTCGATTCATAACTACAGGAGAATCAAGAGTGTCCCGTCAGCTTCAAATTGCAAGCCACCACCTCATAAAGGTCAGTTAGTGCAGCATGTCTGCTCTCTGTGATGATGCATGGCTCAATCTCTCTCGCTCTGTGCGTCTGCTTCCTCGAAGGGGAGGCCTAGCAGCGCGCAAAGAGATGGCTCACATACACACACGTGTTGCATGATAGTAGATAAGTAGAGTAAAAATCAACTTTTGGTAGTAAAACTTCACTACCATGTATCATGAATCTCATTATAATTTTGCTGCACTCCTGCTACTACTAATAATAGTAATGTAGTGACTGTATACAGTAATATATAGATCCGTTGTTGTGTATTAGTTAGTATTGTTGTTATTTAGACTTCTCTTGTTATTCTAAGGGAGAATTATAATGCTAATGTTGTTAGTCACCGCCTCTCATTAACATTAATCCAACTTTTACATTACACTAAACTTATTGCACGTGATTGCAGAGAGAGAGAGAGTGAGAGAGAGAAGCAAACATGTAACCTAACCCAATGTGTTTGCAAATAGAGGGAAGAGGGAAAAAGAGCTAGTATATAGCTTTGTAAATATTATATCAAAAGCATGTTAGAGGTGGTAACAACTAGTTAGAAGGCTGGTGAGAAGAAGTGTTAACAACTACACGACGTCTCGCTTATCTCATGTTGTTGATAAATGAATGTGCGAGGATACATACTTATCTTCTTTCTCTTAGTAGGGGCTCCTCAAAGGATCCCTCTAATGTTTTGTGTACGTGCGTCATCAAGTCGTGTGCCATACAAAATGTACATGTACTTCTTCTTTAATCATTAGAAACCTTACTTGCCATCTCTTTATTCCCCTTTGACAATTTGTGCAATCTTGTTTAGCTACACGTACTATTGTCTTTTCATGGTACATGCAAATACACATGTATATACATGTCCGCTATCATTATGCATAACATCATTATGCATAGATGCTGTTTTTCTCATCACCTTTGTAAAAGTTATGAGGCTAGTCAAGCATACTAAGATTATGAATAACAATAGTCTGATTGATAAAGAACAACAGCATAGTCTTCTTAACCATGTGTGTGTGTATGTGTGTGATAGTTAATTATGGCCTTTGTGATTAATCGGGGGGTAACCATTTTTAGTACTAAAGAGAAAGAAATAGGGCGAGGGAAAGCGATATTGATAATAGCGCCAGTTTTGATACTACAAACACCCGTTGCAATGTTTTACCACACACATGCAGCAACTACTAAGGGTTGAAAGTGGGAAAGATTAAGCATCCGGACGCACATACATAGCATGCACATACATACATGCATATGCAGGGACAAGAATGCAACTACACCTTTGCCTTTACTCTAACACCTGTGTATCATTACATTCATTCCTTCATTTCTATGAATATCATTAGCCTCCATTCAGCGAGGCAGTTTGACTCTCTTCAAAGAGGTCAGTCCCGGCCACACACAGTCAATGACTATTCCTTCCTCTTGGCTCTTGGCATGCTTCTAGTATGAGACAACGGGGCAAGTCTGCATCTGTTGACTG